TCGAAAAGAGGAGAAACATCACTGATATTTAAAGATTCACTGTCTGCTTGCCCCCTAAATGCCCACGTCCCTCAAGTCAGCTCCAATGTCTCCCTAGGGTACCATCCCCACCCGACCTCTCCAAGCTCCTGTGTGCCCCAGGCTCTGGTGCTGGCCCCCCATTAGACTCCACCCTGGCTGTAACCCTCTCCCCACACCACAGAAGTGCTCCTTGAATCAAATTCCACTCCTTGGCTGTGTGCCCCCATCCCAGCCCCTCATACCCTGGCAATGCTCCCCCATTCCCGCATCAGACTCCACCCCGTCCCAGCGTCCCACACCTTGGTGGTGCTCCTTGCATCCGACTCCATGCCGTCCCTGGTGGTCCACCCCCATTCCAGACCCTCACTCCCTGGCAGTGCTCCCCCATCCCCGCATCAGACTCCACCCCATCCCAGCCCCCACACCCCAGAGGTGCTCCTCCCATCAGACTCTGTGCCCTGGCCGTGCCCCACCCCATCCCAGCCCCCACACCTTGGTGCCTCTCCCATTGACCACTTCGGCCCTGATGGTGCCCTAAGCTGCAGTGTGGCAGAGACCAGCCTGCCCCTCTGCAGACTGCTTCAGCTCCCTCCCTGTCCTGTTCCCATGCCCCAGCCGGCTGGGGTTCTGGTTCAAAGGGGGCACAGCTCACTCTCAGCCACATGCACTAACGCCCTTGCTGTTAGCAGGCACAGGAGGTGAAGAGAAGACTGGAAACGCATTAACATTGCAGCCAGCAACTACCTATTTCATACTTCACTGAGTAAAGTCCGTATTTAGAGCTGCTTCAGGAAAAGCAACACAAGCACTAATTGGATCGCATCTCCGAGAGGTCTCACTAAATGGCTCATGGCCACGCGGCCCGTCCAGAGCCCTCTCGAGGACGCGTGCTTGCGGCAGCAGGGGGCGAGCCCAGACACCGTGGAGGCTGTGTACCCACGTGAGAGCACGCACACACACGAGCATGCATGTGCACTCACAGACCCTGCTGACACACGTGGCGCCAGGCATAGGCCCAACACAGCCCTAGGTTGCGCGCGCGCATGTACACACACGTCCACTGAGGTATGGCACCGTGCCCAGGCCCCATGCAGCCCCTCACATGTGTGCACACACACGGACACATGCATATGAGCACCTATGGCCACACAGCAAGTATGGGGTCACCCCCAGCACCCACACAGTCCCTAGGGGGCACTTGTGGACACACCAGTGTCCTGCTGAAGACAAGGGTCTCATAGCAACATTTACAGAATATTCCCGGGCCTCCACAAGAAAAAAGACTGATATGATAGTCCAATTACAAAATTGCAAATTACATGGAAAGACTTCTCACAGAGGAAGACATTCAGGTGACCAACAGACAGAAGAAATGCTCCAAATCACTGACCATAAGAGAGATGCAAATCAAAACCACAATGAGGCAAAGTTTAGCAGGGCAGCAAGTAATAAATGTTGTTGTTGTTGTATTGTCGAGTCAGAACTGACCCCAGCTGACCCTCCAATAGGTTTTCAGAGGCAGTTAATCGCCCGGGAGGAGACTGCCCAGCCTTCTCCCACTGAGCAGCTGGTGGCTTCAAACCGCGAGCCTTCGGGATTGCAGTGCAGCTTCTTGCCACTAGGCCACCAGGGCTCCCTAATTTGGAAGCAGGAGTAGCATCCACTTCTGAAATAGCTTGCCTCCAGAAACTCTATGAACGTCATCTCAGAGGCAGCACCCTGAGGGCTCTGGGACTGTCCCTGGGATGCCACGTTGTTCAGACAGACAAGTGCCAGTGTTCTTGCTGCACAAGTTTTTCCTTCTCCATTTTTAGGGAATGAGAGGGGTCCAGACACCTGCACCCCACGGCCGGCAACGGCCAGGTCTTCGTCATCTCTGGCTGCTGGTTTCCAGGAGCAGACCACCTCACAAGGCCGAGGCCCAGCCGGCACTTTTGGAAGTGCTTTCATCACCTTGAAGAGCCCTGGTGGTCCAGAGAATAAACACTCGCCTGCTATCTAAATGGTCCATGGTTCCAATCCACCGGCTGGCCCATGGGAGCAAGGTGGACAGTCACTTCTATAAAGACACACAGTCTGGGGAACCCCATGGGAGACAGCAATGAGACTGGTGGCCTGAACAGAGAAAGGGGTGCCAGGAAGGAGGGTTAAGTTCCAGCCGGCCACTCCGGCCACGGAAACACGGTATAGAGCATCGTCTGGGTTGTGAGCTTGGAGGCTGGAGGTTCAGCGGCAGCTGTCCCCTAATGCCCTTAGGAGAACTTGGACGCAGGAGGGGAACCAGAGCCCTCAGCCACAGAGTCTGAGAGGGTGTCAGCAAGCCCCTTCCCCACACAATGGGGCGCGCTTCTGGGAGCATCCGGCCATATGGAACCCCAAGAGGAAGGCTGCATGCATGGTGCTGAAGACATGAGGCGTAGCTACCCCTCTCTGTCCCAGAACCATGCAGACACCACCCTGCTCCATGTGGCCACGTCCACCCTAGCGGCCCATGGACAGCATGCTGGCCCAGGGAGGACATGTCAACAGAGGACTCCAGCGTCCAGATGGGTGCTCTGCCCAGGGTCCACCCTTGAGAGGCAGGTGTTGCAGGCAGCTTGACCTGACCCCTTGCTGTTTGGGCCCTGACCACCCAGCACTTTCTAGCCATGAGAACTGGTGGCCGGGGACGTGTCTTCTCTGTGGGGCCACTGGTGGTCACCCAGGCCTGTGGCTCTCAGATGTCATGAGGGCTAAGTCCTCACAAGCCTCACTGAACCAGGATCTCTGGCCCGTGAAGCCAGTCTCATACCGCTGAGCCCCGTCACCTGCTGTTCTGGCCCTGCCGTCCCGGTCTAGCCCTGGGCCCGCCTGTCCCGGCCCCACTGCCCTGGCCCCATGCCACCAGCTCCACCATCCTGGTCCGCATGCCACCAGACCCCACTGCCCTAACCCTCACCATCCTGGCCCTCCTGTCCTGGCCCTGTGCTGCCAGGCCCCACCGTCCTGGCCCCACTGCCCTGGCCCCATGCCACCAGCTCCACCATCCTGGTCCCCATGCCACCAGACCCCACTGCCCTAACCCTCACCATCCTGGCCCTCCTGTCCTGGCCCTGTGCCGCCAGGCCCCACCGTCCCGGCCCCACTGCCCTGGCCTCCATGCTGCCACCAGGCCCCACTGCCCGGACCCTTGTCATCCTGGCCTTCCTGTCCTGACCTCATGCTGTCAGGCCCCACCGTCCCAGCCCTCCCCTCTAAAGGCCCCATTTCCCCAGCCCCACCGTCTAAGTCCTCCCATCCTGACCATCTTGGTCTGCCTCTCCACCCCTCCCACCCTGCCATCCCAGGAAAGGCAGACATTCGGGGAGCACTGGAGCGGAGGAAGAGGACATTTAATTACAGATTGTGAGCAAAGTGATGTCCCTCAGAGCCGAAAATACAGCTCCAGCTCTTTCTCTCTGAGGTCCAGAGAGCTCGAGCGAGCCTTTCACAGTCACAAGCACAGGGCCATGGCCCATCAGGAGTTCAGGGAGAGCAGGGACAGCCCAGATGTCCTCCTGGGGACACTCACTCATCTACAGGCGAGCATGGACTGTGCTCACACTGACTAGTTAGCATGGCTTGGCTAATTAAGAACAGAAAGTCAAGCAGCCTTGTCTTGTCATCTGCAATTAGCTAAAGAGGTCGAAACGTTTCCTTTGCTCCTGTTTTAAGGCTTCTCTGTTTCCCCTGCACCAACGGTATCATGGTCTGAGAACCTCAACTTGAAGGCTGTGGTCCAGGAGAGATGCACGAGGGACAAGGTGAGGGCCCATGTGGTGGGCAGAGCGTGGGACAGAGAAATCCCAGGAGGACCAAGCCCCTGAGCCTCAGCTGTGTGGGTGCTGGCCTTGTGCTGGTCTCCAGGTGGCCGTGGGTGGGCAGAGCAGGGCTGCATCCACACAGGAAATCACCACTACACCCCTTCCTGCACCCTGGCAATGGGTGTAGACGGACTGTGTACCCTATAGCCCTGTACCCCTGAGGGGCAACACATCGTCCACACCATGTGTGTCCTGAGCCACACACCACACCTATCTGCCCTGTGTCACACAGCACGTGTGTCCCCGTCCATCACAGCCACTACGCGGCACCCCTTCTCTTACTTGAATTAAGGACCTGAATTCTGTTCAGGGCCCCAGGTCCCTGGAGCTAAGGCAGGACTTGAACACAGAGTCCATACCCCTGGCCTGGCCTGCACCTGAGCTAGGATGAGGTTCCTGAGGGCCAACAGAACCCCGCACCAATGGAGGCCCCAGGGGAGTGGTAGAGGCCGAGACAGACAGACACACAGGTACGTGCGCACGCGCGCGCACACACACACACACACACACACACACACAAACAGAGGTCCCTCCACATACAGCCAAGCCCATGTGCATACTTACCTCACACGCGAGTGCCCGCACACACACACCCCTCCCTCCACCTGCAGTCAGCCTGTATGGACATGGGGACACACACACACACACACACACCCCTCCCTCTACCTGCGGTCAAGCCTGTATGGATGTGGACACACACACACACACACACACACACACACACACCCCTCCTTGCACCTGCAGTCAGCCTGTATGGACGTGGACACACACAGAGCCCCACTGTGGCACCCTGCACCATCAACTCTGTCCTTCCGTGAAGCTGACGGTATGTCCATCACGCATCCCCTCTCTCCCGCTGTGACATTCACCTCATCTGACTAAAACCCAACTGGGTTACACCCGTCCACTGTCTGTTCCCGCCCACCGGGACGGTCCTGAGAGCAGGACCTACGAGTGACATCAGGTCCCACACACAGTTCTCAAGGTGACAGGGTCCCATTTCCTGGGGAGCCAGACCCCATGTCTGACCACTGAGCCAGGACCTGCGACATGGGGACCACACACGCACCTGTTGGGGGGACAAACCGAGGGTCCTAAATTGTGACCCCTTGTCCGGTAGCTGTCCCAAGAACTCACCGTTTCAGCTCTCAGTTTGTGGCTTCCCAGTTCCTCCAGGGCCTGTGACAGCTGGGCCTGCAGACAGAGAGGTCAGGGCTTCAGAGAGTGTGGCCTCTCCAACCCTGCTGCCCACCCTCACCAGGATGGCGGCTGGGAGCCGTGGCCACGTGCACATCACCCTGAGGTAAGGCATGAGAACCCCCATGTCATCAAAGGTAACTGAGGACACACGGAACACAATACCCATAGTCCACCAGAGACTGGGGTGGGGGGCTGCAGACTGGGCAGTGGGTGGTCAGATAAGAGATGACAGGTAAAGAAAGGACAGAGAGGACAGGGAACAGTGCAGATGGCAGGCAGGTGCCACGTGGACGGCACAGGTAAGTAGAGGGAGGTGCGCATAGAGACAAACAGGAGGAGAGCAGGCAGGGGTGCAGGTAACAGGTGCACAGATGGCTGACAGACGCCAGAGAGAGGGATGCACCGATGGCCCCAGATCCAACCCAGAGGAGTCACACAGGTTCCCAACCCAGGGGCCAAGCTGGCCTGCACCCCGAGTGTCACCAAGCCTGTCTCGGGGGTCCTCAGAGCTCTGGTGACAGAGGCAGGGAATAAAGGAAGAGGCCCGGAACAGCCCTCAGATGCGCAGTAAGTCCAAGGCTCAGGATGATGGGGCACCAGGGCTGCACTTGTACTCGCCCCTCGAGACCCCGGGACCCCCACAATGTCTGCTGCCCCAGGGGGCTGGAGCTACACAGCCCCTTCAGACCAGTGTCCCTGGTGGCACAGTGACTTAAGGGCTCAGTTGTCCAGCAGGTGCCCCCAGTCTGCCCCACAAACTCACGGCCTCAGAAACTCTCCCGCAGTCCTACCCTCTGGGTCACCGTCAGTCAAAATCAACGGCGGCGGGGGCTTGGGGTTTGGCTTTGAGTGGCTTTTGGTGACTGGGTCATGCTTATCTGGGGAGGCACTAGCCTCCAACAGAGAACTGCTCCTCCCGCGCGGGGAGCAGGGAGCAGGTGTCTCTGGCGAGGGAGCGCTGCAGGTTGGCAAAGCCAGGAGCCCAGCTGCTCAGCCCAGGATGGGCACCGACATCTGCCTGAATCAAGTCAGCAGAGGACGGACAAGGGACTGCGAGGTGTTGTGAAGCTACCAGCCCCAAGAGCCTCAGGGCCTTGGCCAGAAAAGAACAAGGCTGAGTCGCCCGTTCTCATGCCATAGCTGGTGTCAGACTGATAGAGGCTCAAAGTGGACACACTCTCCAAGGACCAATAACTTCTGGGGAGCTGGAGAGCTTTACCCTATGCGGTACCCCAAGGCAAGGTAGTGCAGGGACCTTTCAGAAGAGCGGGAAAACGCTCTCCCAGGACTTCATCCAGCTGCGTTCCCGGGCTTCTGCAGTCATTAGGGGGTGACCGACAGTGGATTAGGGGAAGAGGGTGGTTCCTCTGCGGACTTCTGCAGGGAGAGGCCAACGTCCCCACATGTCATCAGATAGCTCGCCCCTCACTGTGCCCAGGCCTCTGCTCGGTGATTTCAGGGACCGTCTGAGGACGCAGCTGCCCGGTCTGTGCCCATGGAGTTTTCTGCAGGAAGCACAGGCCTAGCTGGACCTGTGACCAGACACCGAACAGCCCCCGGAGGCCCAGGAGTGTCACATCTCAGCACGTCCCTGCTCGCGGACATTCGTCGGACAGCTGTAACAAATCACAGCCTGGCCCTGCGGAGCCAAGCGGGCCTTGTCCACGCACCTCTCTGCCGGTGTGACACGACTCAGGGCGCCAAGGAGCTATTTTTGTCCTGAAGTGAGAAGCTGCCACCTGGTGACAGAGCTCCCCTGCAGTGGCCGTTCCAGGGCGCAGCAGGGGCCAAACGCGGGCCTTTAGGAGGCTCGAGAGTGGCCCCAGCCCCACACACTCGGTGAGGCCAGTCTAAGCCTGGCTCCTGGCCCAGTGTGACTGCCACCTCAGCTGTGTCACCGTGTGGAGGAGAAAGCAAAGCAGACCAGCTAGTGAGCCCTGGGCCCAGCCTCATCAGGCATGCCAGGCGAAGACGCGTGTCTCCTCAGCCCTCCATCCTCCCTGAGCTGGAGGCAGTACAGTGATCGAGATGGGGCGGCTGCCCCTTTCGGACCCGGCAGTACTGGCCCACACAGCTACAGTGGGGCCATGTGTCCAGGTGGGGAGACAGGGCCCCTCCCAGGCTGACCCCTGTGACTCAGGGTCTCAGAGTGCAGGTGGGGCAAGGCTGCAGGAAAATGCATATTTAGGCCCCAGGCGGGCTCCCCAACTTCTCATTCTCACAGAGATGCAGAGGCAGCACCCCAGCTCCTCACATCCAGAGGTGCAAACAGTACCCCCAAACTCCTCACTGAAACACAGCACTTGGACTCCAAGCTCCTTACAGCCATCAGGACTGCTGCAGTATGGAACTGTCACCCCTGAACTCCCTACACCGTGGGGCTGAATGAGGAATGGTCTCATCACACACCCCTCCACGTGACATCCCCACACGGGCAGGGAGGGTTCCAACACCCAGCTGTTGTGTCTGCTTCCAGCCACATCCAGACCTGGGCCACCCAGTGCAGCCCACCGCGAACGGGGACACTCTGAGGACTGCCCACAGCAGCAGAGGCTGCGCGAGGGGCGAGGGCCGAGGGCTGAGGCGTGAGGGGGGTGAGGCGTGAGGGGCGAGGGGCGAGGGGCGAGGGGGGCGAGGGGGGCGAGGGCCGAGGGCCGAGGGGCGACCGATAGCCCTGGCTGAGTCTGCTCTGACTGCCTGTTTGTAAATGCATAGAGTGCACTCAAGGGGATGGAGGGCAGCAACGCGAAGACCAGCTCAGACAGATGGGAAGGAAGGAAGGAAGGACACGCGGAGCGAGGCGGGGGTGGGGTGGGGGCGAAGCCTAGAAAGGGAAAAGACATGGGTGGGCACTGAGGAGGAAAGTGCCCACCCCAGGCTCTCGCCTGCATGCCCTGGTTCTGGTTCTCAAGCTCCGCAGCTCACATACCCAGTTACAGCTTGCACCCTGGTTCCGGCTCTCACGCCCCGGTTCTGGCTCTCACGCCCCACTTACAAGCCACATGTCCCGGTTCCAGCTCTCATCCCTGCTCCCTTCCTCTTTTTTTTATTTTATTTTATTATTTTTGTACGTGTACCGTCAAATCAGATCTGACTGGTACAGGAGGAGATTGTCCCTCCTTCCCCGGCAGAGCATCTGGTGGATTCGAACCATGCACCTCTGGGATTGTAGTTGCAGCTCCTTGCCACTAGGCCACCAGAGCTCCCCCTGCTCCCTTCCTCTTGACTCCTCATCTTGCCCACCAGGGCCTGGAGTGCAGGAGGGGGAAGGCCACACTCATCCTCACCGGCTCACAGTCCTGGAGGCTGTGACCCCACTGCCCCTTACGAGCTAAACAAGACAAAACTGGTGTGGCAGCCCACTCCCCACCACGCACCCCACGAAGCTGCTGCCGTGTGCACAGTCAGACGCACCCCTGTGGCTGTACTCCCACGTGAACGGGACCCCCACACGGCCAGAATCGCATGCAGCTGGTGCCCCAGCAGCCTGTGTGCCGTCAGCACCCTCCATGGCAGGTGTCCCAATGTGCCCACATGCCCAGGGTCCCCACGTACTGAGAACAACTGCTGGCTTTCAGGGACCCTGAGGCCCTGTTCCCACAAGAGTGCAGAGAGTCCTGTCACTACAGGAAACGACAGAAACTGCTTTGCAGTTTCTGTCAAAAGGGCAGGCAAAGCAACCCCCCCCGCCCCCCGCACACACACAGGGCAGCCCAGACATCAGGTAGAGCCCACACAGCCCCAGGGTGAGGTTCACGCACGAGGTACCATGTTGGGCGCTGACCACCTGAGGTGCAGGCCTGCGTGGCCATCCTAGATGGATGATGGCAGGGATCACCCCACAGCACATGCACCTGAAAGCTAGCACACACCTGGTCGGGGGGCTGTCACACCTGCCTCCCCCTGCTGGGGACGGGGTGGGGAGGACATGCTGCCGACGGCCGTGACTCGCATAAGTCCCTCTCCGCAGGACTGCCAGGCCCCTGAGGTCATCACTGGCCACAGGGATCCGTACAACACAGGAAACCCTGGCTCACTGGCGCCTCCTCGCCATCTCTGCCCACCTTGCTTTTTCTCTCCTCCCCCAACAGGGTCTTCCTCCAAGGACCGGTCCTTCCTGGTGACCAAGCTTCACCCTCCTTCCCTCTAAAGCGCTCCAGGTCGGATCTGTGGTTTCTCCATGACACATCTAACAGCCTTCCTTGCCAACACCACATTCTTCTGTCTTTTCTATCCATGTCCAGCCTCTGCACACACACGAGGCTGCTGGACGCTGGCGGGGAGACTACACGCGTCAGCAGGAGCCTGAAAGGCTGCCCTGCACTGTCCCGTCTTCACCGCCTTCCCCCACGCCCTCCCACAACCTACCCGGACCTGCCAGTGCCCAGTGCCGTCAAGCCTGCCCTGGAGACGGCTCGTACATCGAGCTGGAACGCACTCGGGATTGTGCTGTGGCTCCGAGGACTCGTCTTCCTCATCATCGGCTCTCACTGCCAGCCTTGCTCTGCCCCTTCAGATCGAGCTGCCTCCATCCTCCACATGGATGGAGTCAACTGGATCGCTGTGTAGCCAGCAGTCAAGTCCATGTGCACAATTACTGTTTCTTTTTTTAAATTTGCCGTCAGTAAGTGGTTGGTTGTACAGTATCCTATCATACAATCTCTGGTCTGGTTTCTGTCACCAAGGCTGTGTTTTCCACCTACCAAGCCTTCTTTTTGGTTTCCAACTTTCACATCCCAATCTCTAGTTACCATGCAAGCATCTGACGGTATCGTCGATCCGTTTCAGAACTGCAGAGTCAGCAGAGACCCTTCATTTCCTCATCTTTGGCTCTGGTCGCTGCTGTGTCCCCACAAAGTTCTGAACCAGTCTCCTGGGGTTGCTCCTCCCCATCTGCTTCCCCGTTAACACCACAATCACCACTCAGGGAGCCTAGCAGACAGCGGGACACACTCAGCCGGTCAAGGGAAGGCCAGCGCTTTACCCACCCAAGG